TAAAGAAAAAAAGAATAAGTTTAATAATAACTTATAAAATATTAACTCTTATCTTTTTTCTAATAAAGAAGTTTAACATAATATATTAGCAGTAATTACAGTTAGATAAGGGGTAGAACACAGCCTAACAACCACCTTCACGTACAAAAGGTAGCTAGGCCTAGCCCTTATTAACAGTAGATGCACCTTTACTGCAATAGATAAAGATTAGGTAGACAAATAAAGCATTTTATTTAGATTAAAAAAAGACTTGTTTAAAGTAACTCTTACTAACACATTATTAATTAAGTATAGTAAAGAATAGATTAACTTAGAAACTTATAAAAAAAACCTTAAAACTCTAAACATAAAAGATTAGAGGTCTATAAATATACTCCTACTAGGAGGTAAGTACAACATAATCTTAGGCTATAACTAGCTTAGAACATATAACTCTGCAATTAACTAGAGAACTATAACTATAAAAACTCCTAACAACTACACACACATAACCTAGTTAGCATGCTATAATAATTAATGCCTAGTCTATAAGTAAGTAAAACAAGGTAGCAGTTACTACCCTAAGAAAAGAAAACTTTAGAGATTCCCTTATTAGAAGCTAAAAGCCTAGACAGTAAAAATAATAATAAAAAAACTTAAAAAAGTCTCTTATAAAAAAATTAAAATAGACAAAAATGTAGAATAAATTAGTATCTTCTAAATCTAAGACAAGGGCAGCATTCCTTTTAAATATAAGGATTATACAGATATATTTAAGACACTAGAAAATCTAGAGGAGCTACTACTACACTAGCCCTAGGATTATGCTATTAACTTAATAAAAAATTATAATTTAAAGACCTATAAGCTACACCCCCTAATAAAGACATAAAAGAAAGCCTTGTAAGAATATGTTAATAGAATATTAGCATAAGGCTATATTTAAGAAAGCTATAGCCTTATAGCCTTAGCTATAGTCTTTGCTAAGAAAAAAGAAAAAAAAATCTAAGTCTGTTAAGACTATTAGACTCTAAATAATAATATAATCTAAAATTAGTTTCTTCTACTAATTATATAAAACATTATAAACTAACTAAAAAGAACCTAGTACTTTATAAAGTTTAACATACAAAATAAATTTAACAAAATAAAGATAAAAGAAAAAGATAAGTAGCTTACAGCGTTTAAAACTTTATAAAGACTTTATAAGTTGCTAGTAATGCTGTTTAGCCTAATAAACACTTTAGTAACATTCTAATAAATTATTAACACAGCTCTTAACTTATATCTTAATGTCTTTACTTTAGTATATTTAGATAACGTTCTTATCTACTCTAAAGATACCCTAGAAGACTATGTATAAAAAGTATAAAAAGTTTTAGAATAGCTTAGAAAGTATAGACTCTACCTACAGCTCTCTAAATGCAAATTCTATATTACTAAAACAAAATACTTAAAATTTATAATTAATAGTAAAAAAATAAAAATTAACTTAGCTAAAATATAAAAAGTACTTAAATAGCTAGAACTTATAATAGTTAAGAAAGTTAAAGGATTCTTAGAACTATTAGAATATATTAGATAAATAATTAAAAACTACTTAAAAATTACTATACTACTAACAAACACTACTACTAAGGAATAGGTAATAGCAAAGTTTATCTAAACCTTATAAATAAATAAAGCATTTGCTATGCTAAAACAAGCTATAATAGTAAAACTAGTACTAAAAATATACAACCTATAGTTAGACATAAAGATCTACACAGATGCATTCTTAGAAGCAAGCAGAGCCGCGCTTTATTAGAAGCAGGAAGACAGAAAGTAGCACCTAGTAGCGTACTACTCTGCTAAATTTTTAGGACCTAAAGCAGGCTACAGCATACCTAATAAAGAACTTAAGGCTATACTAAATGCAGTAAGAGTATAGGCTATAAAGCTACATAGAATAGCTAAGCTATTTAATATTATAACTAACTATGTAAACTTAGTTACATTCTTAACAGTAAAAAAGCTATTACTAATGCATATAAAATAAGTAATAGAACTTACATAGTTTAACTACGTTATTAAGCATGTTCTAAAAGCACAAAACTAACAAGCTAACGCTCTTAGCTAAAAACTAAACTATTTTAATAAAAAAAAAAAGAGAACTAAGAAGTTTACACTTTTTAAAAAAACTAATAAAGAATAGATTTATAATAGGCCTAGACTTATAAAAAAATTCTATATACTTACAGTAAATAAATAAAGATAAAAAAACTTAATCTAAGAATATTATAAATCTCTAATGTTTAAGCATCTAGAAATAAGCACCCTTTAAAAGAAGCTAAGGGCAGCTATACTATAACAGATACTAAAGGTAAAGCAACTATGTATAAAGGTGCTTAGAGAATGCAACACCTATAATAAAAATAACTTAAAAAGGTATAAAACTTATAAATACTTTTAGCTAATTAAAGCACTAAAGCTACTATAGATAATAATTATAGTAGACTTTATTATAAAATTACCCCTATCTAAAGAACTAGAAACAGAAAGGATGTGCAATATAATTATAGTAGCTTTTAATAAAACTACTAAATATCTGCACACCTAGCTATTAAAGAAAATAATAACTACTAAAAATTTATCTATAAACTAGAATAAAATATAATATTAGTACATAAATGCTTTAAAATTATTATCTCTAACTAAGATAAACTATTTACTAGTAGATTCTAAAAAGTAGTAATACAGCACCTTAGCATAACATATAAGCTATTAATAGCCTATTACCTGCAGACAGACAGCTAGACTAAAAGAGTAAATGTAGAAGTAAAAAGATACTTAAAGAAATACATTTCTTACACTTAGTATAACTAGCTAGAATAGCTTCCTATAGCATAGTTAGCTATTAACAGTGTAGAATTAGCTATAATAAAAAAAACACTATATAAAGCTAATTTTAGATATAACTTTTACTTTATGCTATAAGGAAATTAACTTATAAACTTATAAAAGTTAATAGACTAGCTAATAAACTTATAACATATACATAAAAAGTTAGCTATAGAAGCTAGATCTAGCAGAAAAATAATAAAAAGATACATAAATAAATTATAATAACTAGGACTAGAAATCTATCTAAGAGATTATATATACCTTAATACTAAAAATCTTAAGATACTCTAACCTTTAAAGAAGCTAGCAGAAAAGAGGATAGAACTATATAAAGTCTTTTAAACCTAATAGGACAACTGTAAACTTAAGCTTCCTCTACACATAAAGATACACCTGTAGTTCTACATCTCTAAATTAGAAAAAGCACCTAAAGAAATTCTTTTATTAACATAAAAATAAAAGAACTAAAAAATAAAGTATAAAGTTAAACATATTATTAGTAATTAAAAAAACTAAAAAGAATTTTTAGTAAAATAGAAAAAGTAGCTTACTAGTAAAAACACATAAAAACTAGCTAAGAATTTGCAGAATGTGCAGCTATTAGTATAAAAGTACCTTTAAGCTTATCTAAAAGAAACTAGCTAGGCAATAAGGCACCTATATTAAAAGAAACAGCTATGTTATTACTAGATAGCAGCAGCCTTTAGAGATAAGTTCTAGCTAATAAGGGCTGTAGAGAAGAACAACTTTTTACCTTAACTTTAAAAGCTTCTATCTTGTCTAAAAAGAAGAGGTCCTCCTCTAAGTATTTTACGTAACAAGCCTCTAGCAGATCTAGTAATTTTTAAATACAGTCCTGTTTAGAACACTCCCTAGCTGTTACCTTTAAAGTTGCCTAGACCTAACGCAACATCTTTTCTTTAAGCTTTTACTTATAAACTTTTGTAGTAGCAGCCTTCTAAAGAAGCGTCTTTCTCTCTTTCTCTAACTAATCCTACGCAGCATTAGAAATAAAGGTGTTATATTTACTATACTTTTTTACACACTTAACGCATTTATCTAAGGACAAAGTTAAAACATAAGATAACCTTAAAAATTAGTAAGCGCTATAAGGCCTTATCTTTATCTAGTAAAAAGGATTAAAACAAAAAGCAACATAAAGATAATAAGATAAATAAGACTAACAAGCTATTTAGTATAGAAAGAATAGATGTTAAGAATGCTTTTTAGTAAGTAAGCACTTACTTTATAAATAAACCTTTACTAACACAGTTGTGTAAGCAGAGCAGCAAGGACGCTGCTAGGGAGGAGGGGCAGCGTGTTACAGTCTACAGTTAGACTAGCATAACTCTACTAGCAGTGCTCTACAATCTAGCTAGATTAGGACAGGGCTTGCTTACAGACTAGTTAGAGGGCGCAGAGGCAGCCTAGCTGCCTGCGATGGCAGAGGAATGCGTTGTCTAATAGGGGGACAGGCCGCGAATTAACAGGAGCTTAAGGGAGCTCTAGAAGCTCACCTTAGCAGACTACTATAAACTCCCTCTGCTCCCCTTAGCGCCCCTAGCACATGTATATAAGTTCCTATATTAAACAACCTTTAGAAGGTGTGTTTAACATTTAGTTTATTCTTTACATAGACTAAGTAGCATTTAGCTTTCTAAAGAGCTGTAATACTATTTATATATCTTGCACTATATATACCTCTAACCTTGTCTAATAGGACTGTTTAACCTAGCCTCTCTACTGCTGCATAAAGGGCAAACTACAATCTAGTCACTCTCTCTCCCTCTAGTAGCCCATTAGCCTGTACGTAGGACTGTACACCCTACCGGTTGGCCCCTATCACCCGTCCTACCTCTCCCCTAGGAATACTATAAGACCCGAGTGCTTCCCCGAAGCAAGGATTGTAACAGCAACTTGCTTGTAGTATACGTTACTTATTAAATAAAAATAGTATTATTATTATTTTTATAACGTAAGTGCTGCTGATATTGTATATTAGCACTGTAGATAGTTATTAGCATTTGCTAATACTTAATTAGCTAGATATTTGCTTATTAAAAACCACGCTACTGAATTAACTAAATGCATCTAGATTGTTTTACAATATGCGGTAACGTGTCAGGCGTAAGGTCGAGATGGTCATTAAGCGCGACATGTATATATACTATTCTGTACGCAGAATTAACTGTTAGTTGATCATTCGCACTTTTTTAGTTGTATTAGCGGAGTGGTACAGAGCCACGTCCCTACATTAGGTCGATTAGGATGCGAATAAAGAGCCCTGCATGTGATTCATTGCTGCTGATCATCGAGAACGGATTCCTACCATGGGAAAACAGCGATTTGGATGACCTTGGCGGCGTTTGAGCAATATGAAATTCAATCCTTGATTGAACTACTGCCTTCTCAGGACCTGCCTGTTGTACATTGCTACCTGGGTAGATTTACAGGACGTTGGCGTCATCATGCAGGAACTCTCTGACTTATTTACAACATTTTTGGTTCGGACCCAGCCGCCTACTACTTGCGGAGCTCAGTAGGAGCGCAGTGTGGGTTGTCCACCATCGCTATCTCGGCGTGCTAGATATCCATAGAATGTCACCAAACTCTCTCCGCAAAGCCGCCCCGAAACATAAGTCAGAGGAGTTCTTTTTTCACGTTCAGATCCATCTTCTTTTGCTTAGTGTGATCAAATGCCAAGCGTTGCGCCTTTTTCTGCGACCCTTCCGCAACGCCAAGGTTTCCACTATCCTCGAAAACGTCAATACCATTCGTGCGGACTCGTTTGATCCTCGTCTTTGCCCTTCAGCCAAGATGTTCTGTCTCTGCTTCGTCATGCCCCCTCGGTCCTGTGGTGACATGTGTGGGGGCCCAGCGACGAAGATGACTTTTCATAAGCAGCCACGAGGCGGAACTGGTTTTTTCATATCTTCTTCATCTTTCATTCGGATTCTTTTTCATTTCTTTGTGAGGCTTGAGGCTTCATAATTTCTAAGATTTTTTTGTTTCCCTGTTTCAATAGCTGCAGTGCGGCATACCTATTTAGTGCATTCACACCTCTTGCACAAAATGAAGTTTAATTGGAGCGTTGTCGTGGCCTTTGTGGTTTTATCTAGTGTTGTAAAATGTGAAGAAGTCACTATTAAGGGCAGCTGGACAGTATGCTTGACCTATCCATCGTCCACCTTTGCCACTTCCGGCTTTGCTTCTTACTTTTCCCTCATTCGTCTCCTGACAATTTCATAGGGCTCACTTGCTGCTCGTGCAAACTTAGAATCTCTCACTAAACGTCAGATAAACATCGGAGGTCTCCAACTCGGGGGAGGAGGGAAAGGAAAAGAAGGCCAAGAGAATACGCCGGCTTCTGGGAATCGTAATGGGACAAATGGGAATGACAATGCGGGGCTGAGCATTGGCGGACTGACTCTGGGTGGCCCCGGAGGTGGCATCACTTTCACAGGGAACGGGCAGAAAGGACAACAAGGCGAAGGCCAAGCTCAGGCAGCTGAATCTCAAAAGGGGGAACAAGCAGCGAAAGGTGGAGGCCAAGCTGCCGCAGGAAATGCGACCGAGCCCGCTGCTGAGACTCAGAAGCCAGGGGAGGGTCAGGCTCAAGCTAGTGAGGGTCAGGCTCAAACTCCGAAGGGAGAACAGGGAGCAAAGGGCGAGGGTCAGGGTCAGGCGGGTGAAGGTCAGCCCAACGCGAATTCTACTAAGGGCGCTTCTGGGACTGAGAAGCAAGGCGAGCCCCAGGCTCAGCTAGAGGGTCAGAAGCAGGGTGAAGGGCAAGTGCAAGCCGCCGAAGGTCAAGCCGCGGCTGGAAACGCAACAGAAGGTGAAGGAGGTCAGAAAGAAGGCGAGCAACAGGGTGGAGAACAGCAATCCCCGAAGGGAGAGAAGGCAAACGAGACCCAAGGAACCGAAGGACAAGCAGCGAAGGGAGAAGCAAATGGCAATCTCGCGGTCGAGCAATCCGAACAATTTTCCGAAGGATTCGGTATCACCCTTGACCAAAACGGCAACACAGCAAATTCGGGCGGAAATCTAGGAATTACTCAGGGGACAGACGGATCGCAGAGCGTGGGTGGTGAGAACGGGATCAACATTGCGGCAAATGGAGAGGCCACTATTGCAGGAAATGAGAGAGAGTAACATTGTCTTGGAAGTGTGGGCCTCCAATCCTCAACCTGGATTTAGATTTTGGAATGACCCGTGATTAAGTGTTATCGTGTCGGACAACTTTCGACGAGGATGTTCCTGTTACTCCGTATTACTCTATTGACCGAACATTTGTTTGCATATAGAAGGGTTTGGAAATGTTGATAGATTTACTTCGCAGCGGAAGTGCAAGAGGTGAATATGCCAAGCTAGACCATCGAGCAAGCGATTGGTTTTGCGTGCAAGTGCAGAGAGGGAAACCTGCAGTGTCTCAAAGAGTTTCACGGACGTTTCCCAGGCTAGGCCGTACGTATCCACGCGTGCGGCTGTCACCGCTTCCGGTATTCGTTTACTGGAATGTTCCTAAAGTGATGAAAGAGGCCGCCGAGCCCGGAATCTGCATTCTTGAGGTGAATTGATGAGTCATGTGATTGTTGGATGCTACTTCAACGGAACCTCTGAATCTTGACTGGAAAATCAGCGGTATGTTATCAAAAGCTCCTCTAAAACGTCACAGAGCACTGCAGATATGGGATTAAAAGGAGATAGCGGCTGCAACAGCTTTGAAAACATGGGGCTGTACCTTAAGTTTTACGTAGCCGCGCGCTAGGACCCATTATTAAGAGGCAAGGAGCAAAATATTGTCATGGTCAGGTAGAATATCGCCCGCTAGGAATAGAGATGCGACGGTTAAGCCAGATAAAACGCCTCTGCTACCATGGCGAAGATATTTTCCGTGCAAAGTCTGGTAAAATCATTGTCGTTTCTTACTGCACTCTTGTTCCTAGCTAGGAGACCAGTAGTCTGTATTAACAACTAGCGGTTTTCAGTGGCGTTTGTCTAACACTGACATGTGCCCTCATAGCTCGTGATTTTGCGATATTGACATCCTGAAATAACACCCTGAAGCAATCTGAAGCAATTGCTCGCTATGGCGGTATAAGACGGTATCCAGTCTCTCTTCTCACAAAGAACCCAAAAAAAGCTAAAATTGACCATGCTAATTAGTCAAGTGAACGTTTCAAGGGGCACATCCCGGTTTCCTTAGAATGGCTGTGTAAGGACGGGGATCTGTACCACTCCGCCAATACAACTAAAAGGTGCGAATAATCAACCAACAGTTGATTTTTGCGTACAGAATAGTATATATACCTGTAGCGTGTAGGGGCTATCTTGGCCTTACAGGCTGCCTATGTGAAGGCACGTGATGGACTCCACCTATTCAGCGAAATGCTTTTAATATTAACGTACGTCACAGGTGTGCCGGCCACCCTGCTGGCCGCCCTACCAAATCCACACTCTATTCTCGCCTATAATAGCACTATTTAGTCTTGTAAGGCGTAGTATTACGTTCTATGTAAAGATGGGATAGTAGATAGCACGTGTAAAGATGGGATAGTAGGTAGCACGGATAGCACTGAGAGCAAGGTTTCGGAGAAAGATAGGAGTGTATTGTAAGAGAGACGAATCACTGCCAAGCCTCGCTTGTCAGGATTCATGCTTATATACGAAGCACAGGTCATGTGACCTCCAAACTGGTCGGGTGAGGCCATACTAGCCTGTTCTGGGACATCCGGCCTTATATTCTAGACTATTATATTACTACATCTATCTTCTTCTTACATGTACGTAAGTTATATCCTGTCTTATAGCACTATTTATTACGTTTTATAAGCTTATGTTTTTTTATTAGTAACGTACACTATAGGCAAGTTGCTTACACACCTAAGTTACTTACTTTTACTAAGACTCTACTAAACTACCTTTTCTATACTAATGCATTTCTAAAAACACTACTTAGATATAGCTTATACTTTAAGCTTTTAAATAAAATATAACACTTTTAAAGTAATACACTATAGCTATGTATAAAGTCTGTTAAAAAATAGTAAATAACTAGTATACTAAACACCTTTTATAAGCTAATTTTATAGCTAACTTATAAAAGCTAAGTAATAATAAAAAGTAAGTAATTTTTAAGTATATACTAAAGTTATATATATAAGAACTTTCCTTTTAGCTAGTTTCTATAGCTAATATAGCTAATTTTTTGCACGCTAAGTATAATCTAGGCTATGTTAGCATAAACTAGCTTAGTATGTTTATAAAGCATTATTTAAAGCTTAAAGTAAAGTTTTAAGTATAAGTATATGTCACAATTGTGCACGAGTAAGGTTATAGAGCTTCACGGAGGTCTAGTTCAATTACTACGTGAGGTATTATAGTAGGTACAAGACGTTGTGTAAGGAACAGGAAGGTTTAGAAGAAAATTAGTAATTAAATACTTAGCTTAAAAGTCTAAGCGCTTTAAGTATAAATTAAGCCTATTTTAAGTTTAGTTAGTGTTAAGGCAGTTTATGCTTAAGTTTATGTCTATGTTATGTTATATTTATGTTAAACATGCACTAATAATACTCTAGTACGCGTCTAATACAGTTATGTCTAGGATCTAGGGAGAATACTGTAACAGTACCCCCCCTTTTATTAGAAAGAGAATCCTTTATATTAGTAGTTCTAGCATTAAGTTATCTTTGTTAGGGTACAGGTTTAGTTTAGATAAGTATTAAGCATAGAATTAGGTTACTATAAAGTTCTTTTATAGGGCTTCTACAAGTTCTTACAATAGTTTATTATATCTAGTCTATTTTATAAAGTATTTATAAATATGTTTTTTTTTATTAAACTAAATTTATTTAATATCTTCTATAACATATTCTAGTTTATTATTTATAATAATAAGTTTAGGTAGCAGGTTTAGCTGTCTAGGTAGATAGTTAGATTTAGAGGCTACTTAGCGCAGTAATAATATGTAGAACACAGGGTGTATCTTTATGCTGTTAGGTAGGATTAATTAGTAAGTATATAATAAAACTATATAGGCTACTGTAAAAGGGCTAAAGTTTTTTTAATTAAGTTTCTTTAATTATTAGTTTATTTAGATATTTCTAGCATCTAGCTAGACCTTCTTGCTAGCTGCATACACAGAAGCAGAGGTTTAGAATTAGTTTATGTACTCTTATTAAAAAGCTTAAGCCTATGTAAGCTTTTTATAAACATATTTAGATATGTTTTAGATTTTATTAATAAGTCTATTTATATTTATTACTTATATAGATTAATAAGTTAGTTAAAGGGTATTTAAAAGTAGTTTAAATCTTATTTAAAAGTAGTATTTATAGTTTACTAAGAATAAGAATACTTATGTTAATTTAAATGTTATATTATTAGCTTTAAACTATGCTATAGTTAACTATTTTACCTAGTTGTTTTACTAGTAGTTTATATACACTTATAAGACTTATTTTATTATAGTGTTTACATTCTTAGTCTAGCTGTTAGTCTTTAGGTAAAAAGCTGTAGATAGATAAAGGATAATTTAGAGCTGTTTATAAAGTTTATCCTAAAAGGCTAAGACAAACTGCATACCTTTATTTAATATAATTATGTTAGGCAGGCTATAGTAAACTTATATGTATTAGTAGAATAACTAGGCTATATTAGGGGCAGTTATAAAGGAATATAGTATTAAGTGTTAATACTTAGTTAAGTAATTAACAACTACTATAATATTTATATACCCTTTAGATAAAAGTAGGTTTATAATAAAATTAATTAATATATTTTTCTAAGCTTATTTAAGAATTAGAAGTAGTTTAAGTAGGCTATTATACCTTTTTTAAAAGGCCTTTACTTTATAGTAAGTATAGCAACATAATACATATTAGCGTACAGTATAGAACATGCAGGGCTAGTAGTACTCTCTCTATAGTAGGTTAAGAGTCTTTTCTCTGCCTAGGTGTCCTCTAACAGGCAAGTTATGTATAATTTAGAGTAGTTTAATTCTTAGTTTATTAGAATTAAAGATTATAAGTTAGTTATAGTAATATAGCTTACTATTTTAGTTTTTATAGTTAGCTAGTGTTACTTTTTTTAACTAACTAGCGCTGTTTTAAAGCAGGTCTAAGGTTTCTTAGATAAATTTATTATTTAGATACTTATTAGTAATAATCTAATTAATTATTTAATTTATTTTGTTTAAGTTAAGGTCTAAAAATAGCTTAGGTTAAAGTAAAGTTTAGTATTAAGCTTTTTACACTTTTTTTTAAGTAAGGACATTTTAAAATTACCTTATAAAGGCATCTAGTTTCCCTCTATCTTAACTAAAATAATAAGTAATTTTAAAATTAAAACAGAATAAGTATTTAGACTAATAGGCTTATTAGTAGCTAAGTTATTTTATAGTTATAAAGTACTATAAGTTTTTATAGTTAGATAGAACCTATATTAGATGTGCTGCACCTTCTAGTTTAAGTTGCTATTATTTAAAGCAGTGTACTATAGCAAGTAATTTCTTATTATAGATCTTATAATTGCCTTTTACAAGACTTATTTTTTTAAGAAGTATGTAATAGGCTTAATAGTCCTATCTAGCTTAGTCTAGAAGAGAACTTCTGCTACTACATAGTCTAAGGCATTAGCTTCTATAAGTATTAGTAGTTTAAAGTTAAAGTAGTAAAGTATTAAAGCTTTAGTAAAAGCTTTCTTTAGCTAGTTAAAGAACTATTAGTAATTTAAGTTAAAGTTAAATTAAATCTTTTTTTTAGTAAGTATAATTATAAGGCTTACTTACTATAAAAAGTTATTAATAAATTATTAGTAAAAGTTAGTAAATCTTATAAAGGCTTAAATATCTTTTATATTCTTTAGGTATTGCTAATCTAGCATAGTTTAAACTTTAATAGAGTTTATTTAGATGCTATCTATAAAGATTACATATTCTAAATACATAACCTTTAATTAGTAGAACTTACATTTATTTATGTTAAGTTACAGACCTGCTTTTTCTATAGCCTTTAGCACTAGGCGTACATGCTATTTATGCTTTAAAAGGCTATTACTATAGATTAGAATATTATTAATATACGCAGTGCAGAACATGTCTAGGTAGGGTTAGAGCAAGTTGTTTATAAAATGTTAAAAAGTACTAGGCGCGTTAGCTAAGCTAAAGGGCATTACTAAGTACTTAAATAGTTTATATTAGGTTTAAAATGCTGTTAGCTACTTATTACCCTTTACTATTCTTAGCTTATTAAAGGCAGTAATAATATTTAACTTTATAAAATACTTTACTTTACTTAGTTAGCTTAAAGTTTTCTATAAAAAAGGAATTAAGTATTAGTTTTTAATAGTAATAGTATTTAGTCTTTAGTAGTTAATGTAGAATTAAAGCTTACTTTTAAGTTTTTTTATAAATAGTATAAGTAACACTACTAGTAAGAAGCTAGCTTAAATAAACCTTTTTTTAAGTTTTTATTAAGGTATTTTTAAAGCACTTTTAATTTATTTAGCAACATTTTATATAGTAGCCTATAACTAGGTTATTTACTAGGCTTAAAGGTTATCTAGTAATTATATAAACATTATATTAAAAGCTTATTAGACTTATTTTAAAAAAAGATATATAATAAGTTATAGTAGTCTTAAGAGACTATTATCTTTAAGTTAGTGTGTTTTTAGGGAGCTAGAGCTTAGTTTATATTAGAAATTATAACTACATAGATTTTATAATCTAGTTATTAAGCTAAGGTTATAAATAAAGCAGGTCTTATA